GGCCTTTTGGATTGTACCGCACACACCCCCTGACTCAGTAAACTCCAATGGCTCCCTATTACTTCCAGGATCAAATATGAAGTCCTTTGTCATTGAATACTCTTCACACCTTGGCCCTTTCCTACTTTCCAGTCTGACATTTTACTCTCTTTCTGTACAGTCCTGTAAGCTGCCATTGTTCACACACAGCACTTCATCCCCTGTCTCAGTGCCTTTGCATTGGTTATGCTCCAGGCTTAGAATGCTCTCTCATCTCACCTCTACCTCTTGGCATCCCTGGCTTCCTTCCAGTCTTCAGTTCAAATGCCAAGAAGATGGATCTTTGCGCAGTACCTCCCCACCCCCCCACCTGCTACCTGAGCCTTCCCCTCTAAAATTATCTTCCTCCTGCTCTGTTTTGTCTTTGCATATATTTACTTACATTTTTATCTTCCCCCAATGAGATATAGTGTGGTGTAGCAGCTAAAAAGTCAGCCAAATAAACCATGGGTTCAAGTCTTGCCTCTGACATAGACTGGCTATGAGACCTTGGGCAAGTCACTAAATCTCTCAGTGCCCTAGACAACTAAGTCTATAAATTCCTGAGATGGTTCAAACCTGACTCAAAAGAGGGCTTTTTCTCATCCAGGAGTTTCCAGATCCAGCCCAGATCTGTATTCTCCCCAATTAAGATATAAATTCCTTGAGGGAAGGGATTGTTTTTGTCTTTTTTTTTTATCCTCATCACTTAGTACAATGACTGGCACCTAGTAAGTGCTTAATAAATGCTTGTCGATTGATTAAATGTCATTATGATTTAATCGGTTCCTCCAAGACCTGACTCTTCCTAGCTCCAGTTCTTACTGTGACTTTCTCCAGATGACCTCTGAACTCTTGGGCTCCTTTCCCTGTTTGGTCCCTCTACATTCTGCTCCTTAGGCTGGTACCAATTCATGATACCTTTCTCTTCCCTGTCCTACACTGTCTTTGGAAGAGCAAACTGCTCCTCAGGGCCTAATAATGAGATTAGGCCCAAATGTACTAGTTGAAGATAACATCCATGAAGAGTCCGCTGGACACAATTTGTACCATAGTAGGTATTTAATACAGGCTTGCTGAATGAATTAGTCAATCAATGATTGAATGAATTTAGGTGTCTCTTCCATGTTCTTGCTATAGTTCTAATTTATGAACGAACCCTGCTCAAGGGGCTTCCTAGGTGAAAGGAGCATTTCTACTCTGATTTGTTGAAGAGTCTCAGCAATTTATGGAGTCCTTCAATAGCTCTTATGACAAGAGCAATAATTTCCACATGAGAATGAACGTAGCTTTCTCCTTCAGATTCCAGCAGATGTTTCTTGGAGACACTCAGAAGGAAACATGTGAAATTATCTAGCTTTGTATGCTATGGAAATCTTCTCATTCAGTGGCAATTTTATTTTTTTTTAGATAATTACAAGTTTGATAAGTACAAGTTATCTATGCAATAGGTTCTGCTAAGAATTATGTACATGGCTAAAGTGTTGGTAAAAACTCATTTAATGACAAATCTATGTAGATTGAGATATATCCAAAAGGGATATTTGCCTCCAGACATGTAAAACAAAAATCCACATGTATTTAGATTTATGCCTCTCAGGGAAAGAGAGATACACTGAAAACACCTCAGAAATCCAGCTTTATGGTTTATGTCTATTTGTCAATTCCCATTTGTTCCCTTCTGAGGTAGAACTGTTACTCCTGACCCTGCAGAACAGACTAGTAAAATCTGGCAGACGGCTGACCTTAGCTGAGATCAATACAAAAAGCTCAAGAAGCTTATGAAATAAAGTCCTTTGAAGTGAAATGTAAAATTGGATTTCACAAGCTATCATTATCATTTGTCAAGTAAAAAAGCAAAAGTCTTGTAAAGATGAGTAATTCTACCCCCAACCCCCAACTTTGGCAGTAAAAGGAGTTGGGACACATGACCTATTTCGGCAAGTTGAGCTCAGACTGTAGACACATAAAATTACTTTGAGGTAGATGAATAGCCTCCTGATGCTAAAAATATGAAGAACAAATTAGACAACAGGATGATTTTGTAAATAACTGATGATCCCCTGCGTAGGAATCTTTCGCTCCCTCTGATGGAATTAATACACTGGCTCATAAAAGAGGGAAACTGGCAGATGGATACCAACACCAATTATTTTCAAGTCATTTCTCAAGTGTGCAAACTCCATTGGTACCATTGTTTGACTATCAGATTTCATTAGGTCATTATCACCAGATTAGCTATTTGAAGCATGCCCTCTCCGGCAGTTGCTCCTCTGAATGAATTACTAGGAAGAAGTCTTCCTCCAACATGCAAATTTCCTAAAGAAGTTCTGTCATTCAGCTTTTGTTAAAGTTCTCTGGTTTGGTCAGAACATTTTGCCTGAGATTTGCTTCTTCTTCTTTCTTCTTCTTTGTTTTTCTTTAATTAAAGCATTAACACATTTCAATTCAGTATTGATTTATTGTGATGGAAAATGGAACAGATATACATTTGCTTTACTTCTGATTAACATTAAATCTCAATGAATTGGAAAATATCTTACTTCTAATACTGCAAATTCTTCAAGGCCCCCGTGACTGCATTAACGTGGGTACTCTTACTATTGGATAGAGATTGCATCTCCCTCCTCACCTCCAAGCTGGCCACTTCTCCCCATCCAGCTGCAGCCAGCATGGTAATGAGCCTCTCTGAACTTATATAGGTTGGGCCTTAGATACAAAAGATATACTCACTGTCCATCACCAGGCCTGTACTCAAAGCCTTTTCAGTGTGATAGGATCTATGCAAGCTTACACTCCATTGGCCTTCAAGAATGCAGGGCCACCTCAAGACAATAATGACATATCAGAAGAGAACTTCTGAGTAGGTGTCATGTTTGCTCATGGACAATTACACTAAAGATAACATTTCGGGCAAGTCACTTAATCTTCAGGCCTCAGTTTTCCCATCTCTAAAATGGGAATGATCCTACTGTTTCATTACCTCCCTCATATGATTGTTGTAAGGATTATGTAAGAAAAGAAATGTGAAGGAATTTTGTAAACTATAAAATGCTGTATAAATGTGAGCTATTATTAGCATTAATAGCATTATTATTATTAACTCAAGATCTTTTGTGATAAAAACTCCTAGATATACTATAAACTCTATTTCTTTGTGTTCAGTTATAAACCCAAGAGCACACACAACAATTGCTTTAAAAAAAATACTTGCAAACTAATTTTCAAAGATAAGAGGGATAATTTTTAAATGTTCATAGGCTTTGTATAAGGACTGTTATAAGGAACTCTCTGATGAGGAAGCTCTCTCTACCAATGCAGGTCAGCATCTTCTTTAATTAGTCTTAAAGCATAATTCTTAACCTTTTTAATGTCATGGACCCCTTTAGCAGAATACTGAAGTCAATGAACACTTCTCAGAATAATATTTTTAAGTGTATAAAATAAAATATATCAAATACAAAGGAAACCAATTTCTTGAAATACAATTGTTACAATATTTTGAAAACAAGTTCATGGACCCCAGGTTAAGAATTTCTGTTTTAGAGATGTGCTCAGAACACAGAGAGGTTAAATGATTTGCCTTGGGTCACATAACCAATATTCATCAAAAGTGGGATTTGAACTGAGGTCTACCTGATTTTGAAGCCAGCTCTCCAACCAGTATACCATTCTTCCTCCTAGTATCTTGATAAAACTGAGAATTTATACTTTTTCAGTACCATTAAATACATATAAATCAACTATACAATAAGTATTTATTAAAGCATCTTTTAAGAGTTTCTTGCTTTCCTGGGTAGGGGATGGGAATGTAGGAATGAGAATTAGAAAAGGAGAATAAGACATGGTCCCTACCTTCAAAGAACCGGGGGGGGAAAAAAAAGAATAATACTTTGGTGCTTTAATGGTTTTAACTGTGTGGGTCTTTCACAAAATTCTAGAACAAATTACTAAAGAAACGGTTAGTGGACATCTAGAAAAGGAAGCAATGATCAAAACAAACTATCCTAGATTCTTCAAGAACAGCTCATTCCAGAATAATCTTTTTTTTCCTTTTTTTGACAGAGTTACTAAACTAGTACATCAGGGGAATGGTGTAGATGCTTACCTACATGTCAGCAAGGTATTTGATAGGGTATCAAATTCTACTCTTGTACAAAGAATGAAGAGATTCAGGTTACGTAGGATTTGATGATTCAGAATTGGTCGGAATGACAAACTCAAAGGGCAGGTTTAATGTAAATTGTCAGGAGGTCTCCAGTGGAGAGCCCCAAGGATCTAGGCTTAGCCCTTTGCTTTTGACGTTTTTTTTTATCAGTGATTTGGATGAAGGTATACAGAGGCTTATAAAATCTGCAGCTGATGGAAGGCTAAGAGGGAGAACTAACTTGGTGGATGGCAGAATCAAAATCAGAAAAATATTCTGATAGTCTAGAAAATGGGTTTGAACCTAAAAGATATAAATAGAGATAAAAGATAAAATCAGGTTAAATGTAAAATCTTACATATAAGATCAAGCAATCAAAACCACAAGAACAAAGTAGCGAAAACATGATTAGACAGCAATTTTTCTGAAAAAATCTCAGGGACTTAGTGGACTACAAACTCAGTATACCTCAATGGCATGATATAGAAGTTAAAAACAAAAACAAAAAAACTAATGGGAACTTGGCCTACTTTAGGAGGGCTACACTTCTAGGAATAGGAGGCAATAATTTCACTCCACTGAACCCCAGATTCCCTCATCTGGAATATTCTGTCAAATTTTGGGCACACTGTTTAGAAAGGATGTTGATAAACTAAAGGGTGTCCAAAGGAAAGCAACCAGAATGGTGAAGGGCCATGAATCTATGCTATATGATGAATAATTTAAAGAACTACAGAAGAAAGGACTCAGGGGAAATGACAATTGTCTTCAAGTATATAAAAGTCTGTCATGTGGAAAAAGGATCATACTTGTTCTGTTTGGTTCCAAACAACAGATCTGTGTGGCAGCTAGCTGGTGGATGAACCTGGATTCAGGAAGGGCTGCATTCAAATTTAACCTTAGACATTAACTAGCCGTGTGACACTGGGTAAGTCACTTAACATCTATCTGTCTCAGTTTACTTATTGATAAAATGGAGATAATAATAATCCCTACCTTTGAGAGTTATGAGAATAAAATAAAATGTTTGTAAAGCATTTTGCAAACCTTAAAGTGCTATAAAAATGCTAGCTATTATTATCATGATCATTATTTCAGCTATCCTAGGGAAATGGTCAGCCTTGGAGGTTATCATATAGACACCAGATGGCCATTCTTCAGGTATATTGTAGAAGGGACTCTTTTGGGGAGAAGTGTTGTTTGAAATAGATGGTTTCTATGGTCCCTTTTATCTCAAAAATTCTGTGATTCCTTCATTGACACAAATTTTCCATCCATGCTTACCCATTTTGTGTTATTCTTGGCCATTTCTTCCCCTAAATCTTTCAGAGAGAGTCTAACCAATGTGCTTCTTCTTCTTTGAATACTTTGAGGGAGACTAAGGTATTACTACAGTTATCTCTGTTATCTCCCCTAATGGTGTTGGCTTCAGCCCTATTCTGATGTGTTCTTCTCATTACAATAATCACAGTGATTATTGCCCCATTTTCATTTAACCAATTAACATCAATTACTTTTTACAAAGGGATTTTTACTGTAAAGATATAGTAATAACAGAAGTTGTGAACAATTTCCCCCATAAACTGAGCACGCTCTACCCTATACCACCTCACAGTCATTGAGGAGAGTAGGTTAAGAGTTTACATGGCTGCTTTGAATATTCATCCCACCAAGATCACTTCTGAATGTAGCATAGTTGATGGATAAGTTGTTCCCTCCTGGTTGCCTTCCATCTATAATGGATCAAAAAGGTCATTTGAGATTTTGCTCCTCACTGCTGGCCACAAAATACAGTATGGACTCTGGCTTCTCGACCTCTTGCTATTTCTGCCTTTTGAAGCTCACAAGGTTATAGCCATCTCCAATTCTCCATCAAGGAAAAGCAGGAAAGAACAAATACAAAGAAACAAATAATAGGGACTCAATTGTTGGAATGGGTAAGGAGGGTCTGCGGTCTCTCCCCCATTAGGAGGCTTAAAGCAAATCTCCCTCACCCACACCAAAATCAAAGAAAGCACCATATCACAGGGCTGACTCTGGCATGTACTAGGGCCTTTTGAAAGCACCTCAAATCCAGCTCTGAAATATCATCAGTCCATCATGTTACTCCCTGGTGAGCAGAACATAATCAGTGATAGAATGTTTGCACATGCTCCAAATCAGGGGCCAGGACCCTTCCATCATGACTCTTCAGTGTTCCAGCAGGGATAATACCCTGCACATACTTTTAAGATGGAGGTCTCATTGGCCAGGTCTGTAGTTCTCTCTCTCTCTCTCTCTCTCTCTCTCTCTCTCACACACACACACACACACACACACACACACACACACACACACACACATTGACTAATCTTGATGTTCTATCCATTTAACTATAGGGAAAAAAAATTAAACCAAGTACTATTCAAATTTCGTTAAACATTTGTTTATTGAGTATGTCTTATTCATATAGAGAAGCAACATGCATGGCATAGTGGACAAAGAATGGGCCTTAGAGCTAGGAACACCTGAGTTCAAGTCCCCTGGACAGGTCACTCAACTTTTTCATACTCTAGGAAGCACTCTACAAAGATAAGCTGCAGGGAGGTACCAATCTGCCTGGTAGAAGAAGTTTCCTCTCCCTATTACAGTGAAATCACCCATCTAGCCCCTGTCTCTATATCAAATTTAACAGGTAGTGACAATATCACCACTTATCCATTTCTTCTGTGTATTTTTAAAGTTTCATGCTCTTTTCTTTCTTTTTTCAATCTTTATCATTTCTCATTAACTAACTCATTCTTCATGCCCCACACCTCAAAGTTTTCCTTGCAATAAATAAATGTAGTCATGAAAACAAATTAATGTAGTGTCTACTACCAAAAACGTATGACTCATTCCATCACCTCGATGAGGGAGGAGATAAGAGATGTGCTTCATCATCAGCTTTCTGAAGGCATGATTGGTGATTGCAATGATCAGTGTTAGTGTAAATTGTCCTGGTTCTGCCCAGTTCACTCTATATCAGTTCATAAAAGTCTTCCTATTCTTATCACTGGCCTAGGGCATCAGGAGGTTAAGTGACTTATCTATAATCATACAGCCATTGTGTTTCTTGATGTGCCAGAAAATAAGGAAACTGATAGTGTTTTAAAATGATTCATCTGGCAAAGATGCATCAAAAGGAAAAGAAGCCTGGAATTAGGGAAGCCAGTTTGGATTAACAACTAGACGTGCGATGATGAGGGCCTACGCTAGAGTTTAGGCCACATATTCCCCACCCCTGGTTTAGGGAATGGAAAAGGGTCAGTAGTCAAAGTATTATGTAGAACTAATCATAGGTGATAGTTATAAAGCACTTTAAGATTTATGCTACGTTTTACATACATTAGGGAGGCCTGGTACAGGCTGATTAGACCAGGCTCCTTCCCCCACCCCCAGAGGAGGCTCCATAGATAGAGATAGCTAGAATGCCTGATGAATTAATTAGTGCAGCTCCTAACCAAAGGAATTCTACCAACCCTTGTGTTTATCCTTATCTAATCTACTCATGATTGGTGTATTCAAAGGCCTGCTTAAACTGGATTGGTGCATTTGTAAAAGGTCTTGGTTCCCTTTGTCTACTTTAGTTTAAAACCTTACAATGCCTAAAAGGCTCAGAAAGGACCTTGCTATGGATCAAGGGAATTGTCTGCAATGAGTTATGGATATGGCTTCATTTCCCAAAGCCTGACCAGACTGGGACCCAGCTTGGGTAACAGTGAGGCAGAAGCACATGTTTCCTTTTCGAGAGAGTGTTTTCCATCAGAGCTCCCTATGCTATTAATAAACCCTGTAGTTATCTTAAAATGACTCTAGCCATATCTTTGCTCCTTAAAATCGTGATAGACTGAATCTTCCTTTTAATCACACCATTGAGCTTATTGTGCTTACCTATAAGTCTGCTTGTTAGGGGGAGACATGGAAAGGATTATCTATAACCCCCACCTCTCTCCCTCTCCCTCTGTTTCTCTCTGTCTCTGTCTCTCTCTCTCTGTCAGGTGTTACTCCTTGAGACAAAACACAAATCCTAGCATTCATTCAGTTCTAGTTCCCAACACCTGTAAGAGGGCACAAGTTTGGGAGGTCCTGGGAGAGACATTCAAGTTGTGGATGTGCAAAAGGGGTAGGGAAAAAGAGATAATTATCACCCCATAAGTTGTTAGTCTTTAGAGGGACATCAGTTTCCTGCTTTGTTTGATTCTATCATTCTCTCCATTTTACCTTTGGCCTCCACTCCAGTCCTCAGATGCTCCCAGAAATATTTGGTTTGTTTGTGTAAAAACAATACAAGTTACAGCATTTATATTAACTATTTACCATTTTGCCTAATTACCAAGAAGTTTAATAATGTGTGTATCATTAAATATGTCAAATTAACTTTGTTGTAGGTTTCATTTGATTATAACATTAAACCCTGTTTACCAATATCTGGACTATATACTTTGTTGCCTTTATAACATGATCACAGAATTATAAAGCTGGAAGAACTCATCTAAAACCAAGCCTCTTGGCACTGAGGCAGCATAGTGAATAATAGAGCACTAGGCTCAGAATCAGGAAGTCCTGAGTTCAGATTTGGAGTCTGACACTTAATAGCTGTGTGACCCTGGGCAAATCTCAACCTTAGTTTCCTCAACTATAAAATGGAAACAAAAATAGCACCTATTTCCCAGGAGTGTTGTGAGGATAAAGTAAGATCACATTTGTAAAATACTTGGCACAATGCCTGGCACATGATAGGCACTTAATAAATGTGGGCTTCCCCTTTTTTTATATATGAAGAAACTGAGATCCAGACTCACAAAACAAATGAGTTGCAGAATAGACTGTTTACTGGAAACAAAAGAATTAGGAAGGAACATTGACTATGATAAAAAAAAAAAATCAATTTCTAAAGTTATCAAACTATCTTCCTTTCAAGTCTTACATTTCCAAATCGATTTCATTTAAATCTTTCATTTCAACAAAACTGACTGAAAATGGAGATGAGGGAATACAACCAATGTCTAGGCTTTCAATTCCTAATTCTGTTCTTTCAGGATTTTGGGTTTTTGTAAAAAAAAAAACTGGCTGAATAAGACAGCTGCTTTTCTTCTGCTTGCCCCAGCATGCTCCGCCAGAGTCAATTTGGGATTGTGAAACACAAAGGAGTGGTTTAAAAGTTCTCCAAATCAATAAATCAGAAACAAAGGAGGCAGGTCAGCTGAGTCAGGAGAGTCAAGGAAGGCCTCGGTGGAAAACAATCTGCACTGAATGGATGATGGTTTGTTTTGAAATGAGACTGTCGCGTGTCACAGGGTAATAAGCTGCCTTATTTTTGTTACTCACCCCTGTTTGCATACATGATTCATGATGTGGCGTTACCCTGCCAGGGCACATGGATCATGGCTGTCTGTGTGGCAGAGCTTTATAGACTGGCAAAAGTATGAGTCAGTGGGTAGCTTCATTTCCCTGTAACCGTTCTACACAGCCTAATTTTTACTTTACCTTCCTTGAAGACTGTACTTGTAAACACTTTCCTGTTCTTTGGGAAGATTCCAAACAGAATTATCTAAGCCTAAATTTGTTTCTCATATGAGATTGTGGAACAGAAACTTGTGAGACAGCCAAAGCATGGGACGTTCTGTAGACTAATCCAAATGACTTACCCAACAAGACCTATGCTCCAGTGCTTGGGAAGAGAACACAATCCTTCATCCTTAGTCCCCAATGTAAAGTGGATACTGCTTATGGAGCAGTGGGAAACAGGGATGGGTCAAGAGGTAATAACAAAGTCCCTGGGTTCTTGGGGAATAACAACCCCAAGGACCAACGTTTGCATGGTTTGGAAAGACATCTTCTTATGCAACTTTTAATAGAAATAATTGCTATATTACTGATAGTAGTATTCAAAGGCAATGCTCCGAAAATGCTGAGTTGCAAGAGGTGAATTCATGGACAGAATTAATCTATTATATCTGAAAGCTCAGTGTAATGGCTGCAGTTTTGTAAGCAACTTGTTTCATTGTAGAGGTTTTACCCAACCCCCACCCCCTCACCCCAAAAGGATCATAGAATGTTTTGGTGCCTCACAGGCATCTAGTTCAACCCTCTCATTTTAAAGATCAGGCAGCTGAAGTCAAGGGAAACTAGGTGATTTGCCCAAGGTCACACAGGGATTAAGTAACCTAAATCTTGAAGGAAAAAATAATTTCCCTCTACTTCTCAGCTTTGGTATATATATATATTTCATTTTGCAAGTCCAGACAACACATACACACACACACACACACACACACACACACACACACACACACACACACACACACACGGACACAGTATAGATCATCAGTTTCCTGAGGTATATGACCAATTTAAAGAAGGAAACAAAAAAAAAGTTCATGTCATTAGAATGATGTCACCACGTAGCCAGCATTTCGTTAGAAATTCATTCATTCAACAAACATTTTTGTGCCTACTATGGATAATGTGCCATGCTAGTCACTAAGGCAGATGTAGAGATAAATAAGACCAGAGTCTTAGCCCTCGAGGAGCTTAAAATCAAGTAGGGGCAGTTAAGCTTGTGCACAGATAACCGTGATACAGATTAGAAGATGATTAGTGCTTAAGAAGAAGGCTTTGAGATCAGATAATTGGAGAAGTACAAAGTACATGTGACATTTTCTTTCTCTTTCTTTCTTTCTTTCTTTCTTTCTTTCTTTCTTTCTTTCTTTCTTTCTTTCTTTCTTTCTTTCTTTCTTTTTCTCTTTCCTTCCTTCCTTCCTTCTTTTCTTTTTCTTTCTTTCTTTCTTTCTTTCTTTCTTTCTTTCTTTCTTTCTTTCTTTCTTTCTTTCGCACCATGGGATTTAAAGCTAGAAGGAACCTTAGAGATCATTTGTACAACCTCCTGTTTATACAAATGAGGAAACTGGCAGAGAGATGGGAAATAAGGTATGAGGTAGCAAAGCAAGGATTTAAGGAGAGTTCCCCTGACACAAAAGTCTCTGCTTTTTCTACCTGTCTTTAAAATAGCTCTACCTGGGGCTGTCTCCATGCCCTCATAGGCTCTTGTAAATAGGACTGATGCAACAGCAGGGAGGGGCCATATAACATCTTTTTTTTTCTATTTGATTTTCAGGTGCAAGGCTTCATTGTTTATCTCCTAGATCAGAATTGTAGTTGAGGTTTTATATTAATTTGAAGGGGAAAAAATTCATCCAATCTGTTGCTTAGAAGGAATTATACTTCTTATGGATCTTATGAAGGAGCCCTAATTCAGTGGGGGAAACATTTTTTTTTAAAGTCTGGATTTTTGACAACTGTTCTGCAACTTAGCATTTTAGAGAGCTGTCCAGGTCAGTAGTCTCTAAACTTTTTTGATCACACCATGTCCCTATCAGAAAAAAATAAAATACAGTAGTTCCCATACACCTCATCTATGTGAATTTATTCGCAAATTATATACATGTACCACTATATCAATCATTGTGTCCATTATAAGACCTATACAAAAATGAAATTTTAAAGTATGAGTTAAAGATAAAGTTATATTTGATCCTAAAGTAAATAGGGAGCCACTAGACTTTCTAAAGTAGGGGCTTGATATGACTAGAGGTAAACTCTCTCTTTTTTTTTTTTTGGCTAGGCAATGGGGTTAAGCGATTTGCCCAGGGTCACGTAGCTAGTAAGTCTTATTTGTCTGAGTTCAGATTGGAACTCAGGTCCTCCTGACTCCAGGGCTAGAGCTCTATCCACTGCACCACCTAGCTGCTCCCTGGAGGTAAAGTCTTAGAAAGTCACTTTTGAGGCTTTGTAGAGGATGGACAGATTGAAGTGAAAGAGAGGCTTGAGACAGGAAAATCAATGAGGAGACTGTCCAGGTGAGAGGTGATGAGACTGCGGTAGGCTGGTGGGCGGTTAAGAAGAGAGAAGGGGAGATATGTGAGAAATAATATAGAGGGAGATTGACTTTCTTGGTAAAGAATTGGATATGGGGGCAGCTAGATGGCACAGTGGATAGAGCACCGGCCTTGGATTCAGGAGGACCTGAGTTCAAATCCGGCCTCAGACACATAACACATACTAGCTATGTGACCCTGGGCAAGTCACTTCCCCTCATTGCCTAGCCAAAAGAAAAAACAAAACAAAACAAAACAACAAGAATTGGATATGGAGATTTAAGAAAAAAGTTAAGAGTCAGGGATAAAGCCAAGATTGAGAACCTAGATCATGAGAAGAATGGTAGTATCCACAGTAGAAATCAGGAAGTTCAGAAGAGGAACAGGTTTGGGGAGAAAAGCAAAGAGCTCTATTTTGGACCTGTTGAGTTTCAACACCTAAATATCCAACAGACAGTTCATGACATAGGACTAGAACTCAAGACAGCCAGTCAGTCAACATGTACTTATTAAGTGCTTATTATGCGCCAGTCTCATGATGTTATGTGCTGGCTCCCATTGGCGTAGGAAAGATATTGGGGTGGATATATAGTGAAACATGTGCACATATGAACACACGTGTGTATCGATGTGTCTTACAATATATTCATATGACTCGTCATGCACACATTGTGCTGTGTGTTTATACATATATATACACATACACGCATGTGTATGTGTATGTATATATACATGTATATTATATATATATTGAAGTCATTCTGATAGAGATGATAACTAAACCTATGGGAGCTAATAAGATCACCAAATGAGACAGTACAGAGAAAGAAGAGATGAAAGCAGAGGACAGATCCTTGGGAAGCCTTATTAATGGCGATGGAAGGCAGGATATAGGAATGCTAGGGGTTGAGGGGCAGGGACTTTTCTTGTGCAGATGTGGGTGATGACTATGTTGGGTTAGGTCTTTCTTGCCTTGAAGGGCCCACACTGGTACAGCCATGGAAGAGCAATCAAAGAAGTTGCTGAGTGGAGGACTCTGGACTATGTAGTTGTGTCAGAGACGAGCTTACAATTCACTGTAGGAGAGGGTTGAAGGGAACCATTTCCCCCCTCTGTGATTCGTTAGTTCCCCCAGCCTTTGGGAGCAAACAGTCCCTTTGGTGTGGTGCCATGGATCCACTTTGGAGACCACTGATCTAGGGCAGAGGCATCACACACGTGACCTGGGGGCCAAATACCATCCACAACATTCCTCAGGGCAGCCAAACCAGACTAAAATGTAACAGGGAAATATTTAACAAAATAAATAAAAATACAGTAAAACATACATGACATTACATTTTGAGACTAATTTAATATGCTACCCACAGGGATTCTCATATATAGACTAGGGGCCCTTGTTTCTATTTGAGTTTGACATCACTAGCCTAGGGCATTGGGAGGTTAAGTGACTTTCCTATAATCATATAACCTTGTATTTCAGTAGCCAGAATTTAGCCTGAGTTGTTCTGACTCTAAAGTCATTTTTCTCTCTACTATGACATACTTCCTTTTTAAGATTCTCAAGAAAAAATGAAGTGAACTTCAAATTCCAGAGCATGAACCTTAGATTTGGCAAAGGAAAGGAACATATGAGGCCATTAATTTGAAAGTTTCTATTTCCCTTATAATCCACTAATGTAATCTGTGCTTCTCTGGTGACAATTGGTCTTCCTGAGTCAAGTCTCTACCTACTCCAATCTTTCTTCCACACAGCTGTCCAAGTGATTTTCCTAAACAGTAGTTCTGACCATGTCACCCACTTACTCAATAAACTCCAGTGGCTCTCTATTACCTTTAGGATAAAATATAAACTCCTCTGACATTTAAACCTCTTCACAACCTGGCCTTTTCTTCTTTAGATCCTCCTTACACAGGGACCCTGGGTTTGGATAAGTGAGTTATCTCTCCTGGAACCAGGCTGCTGCATCACTGGCCGGCCATTTCCAGACAATGCCACCTGCATGCTGGCCATATTCCTTATCCCTCTCCCACCAGAACTCAGACTCTGTCCCTGGGATCCTAAGCTGTGATACATTAACTTTCTAATTTTGCCTGAGACCAGGCCACCATACTAAATACTGGCTTTTTCCAAATTCCTCTCCCTATTCTAACTCCCTTTATGTGTTGACTTTCTCTATTAAGATGTAAGCTCCTTAAGGGCAGGTACTGTCTTATTTACTTATGTTTGTGTCTCTAGTGCTTAGCACAGTGCCTAGAACATTGTAAGGGGGTAAATCCTTTCTCATTCACTTGTTCATTCATTCCATGTATTCTATGTTGAGAAATATTATCCTACTTAATGTTCCTCCATCACCCGTCTCCATCCCTTTGTACTGGCTGTCACCCGTGCCTAGCATAGTCCCCCTCTTCACCTCTGTCTCTTTGAATTCTGAGTTTTCTTCAAGAAACCTTCCAGGTTCTGATGATACTTACTAAATGAGGCTGTTCCTGACTCCCCTCAGCTACTAGTGCCTTCCCCTCTAAGGCTGCCTTAAATCTGCTTTGTATGTATGTATGTTTGTATGTATGTATATACATATGCATATACATACATATGTATTTATGGTAGATATGAAGACACTGGCCACTGAACGTGCACTTTGTGCTCTGATGACACAATCACCACACGGTCTTGGTCATCCACAGATATTCTATAATTGATCCTAATTCACTAACCACATGGTGAAGAGGAGGCTTTTTGATTGCGTATGTAGCCAGACTTGAGATATGTTCAAAAGGTACTAGTCAGCCAGGGCTTAGGTCCTTGGTATGTTTTTATCCCACCCAGTTGTTTCTGATAAGACAATGCTTAAGAAGAGAGGTCTCAGGCCAACATGTGGCCCATGAATACTGTCCTCTGTCTTCTGCCTCATTGCAGAAGGTTTTCATGTTTTAGGAGAAAGAATTTGAAGATAGCTATGACCTCATGAACTTCAGAAGACCAGAAGAATAAGCCACCAAGATGTCCTGGAGTGAAATCGATACCTGGTTTTATGACCAGCCAAGCCCAAAGGTAGCTGAGATGAGGACTCATCCATCTATCAGCCATATTACACTTTGAAATGCACTTGCTGGAGCAAAAGCTGTGTAGAGACTGCACTAAGTTTGAACACAATCTCCTTCAAGATCAAGGTGGTTGGGAAAGGGAGGGAGAGAGATGGGTGTGCCCCTAGGTACTAGGGAGAAATGTTTGTAGTAACTATAATGATAATGATGATCAATAATAATTATATTAATAATAATAATAATTTCTAGAAAACTTTAAGTTTTGCAAAGCCCTTTAAATGTGTTATCTCACTTGAACTTCACAAGGATCTAGGTAGGTAGATGCTATTATTATATGCATTTGACAGATGAGACAACTAAGACAAGTTAAGTGACTTGCCCAGGGTCACATAAGTAGTTAAGTGTCTGAGGTAGAATTCAGACTCAGATCTTCCTGAAACAAGTCCATTGATATGAATTGATTAACTGATTGATAATTGATAACCTACTATACCACCTACTACTTGCTATATTTTTGCAATCAATATCTCTTTGGAACAGTAAATTGATAGTGATTGGTTATAATTGGTTAAACTCTAGGACCCTGAGGGGGAAGTTATAACCAACCTTACTCCAGAAGGGGAAGTTCGGAATCAGTCACTATATATCTATATCTATATCCACATCTATATCTATCTCCATGTGTGTATATATATATGTACATATATGTATATGTATGTGCATATGTATATATGTGTATAATTTCCCCCATTATAGCTTCCCATTGCATGTTTTTTCTATGCAGAGACTATTTTCACTTTTGTCTTTGTAAGTAAAAACTTGATAAATGCTTGTGATGGGTTGACAGGTGAGGTCATTATACTTTTCCAGCATAGGTGAGGCATAGGTCCAGGTGCCACAAATGCCACTGTGAGTATAAAACAATGCCTTCTGTTTAAAAGGTGGCCTCTCCCAGCCAGATAAGAAAGGGGAGTTTGTTGATCAGATAAATTCCTTCTCTCCTGGCAAGAAAATACATTTGGGGACTGTATAAGAGATTCAATAAAATGCATACATATTGTGACCACATTCTTGAAACAAGACTGATTCAGCTGGTAGAAAAGAGTTACCACAACCGTGGGATTTAGGGGAAGATAAAAAATTCATTCTCAGAACTGCCTTGACAAAAATTTGAACATTAAGGAAATGCCTAGCTTGCAACACAGCACAAATACCGTTTTTATTTTCAGAGAATTTTGCTCACTATATATATATATACTTGTCTTGCTCATTAGATTCAGGGGCCCTATTTCACCTTGTATTACTAACAAAAATGTTTAAAATTCCTGAAATACTTTGTTTCCCCTAAAGTACTTTTATCCCTAGTGGAATATGCCTTAGTCTTTGAATTATGTCCACATCAAAGTCATGCATGTGAAGAGATGAAATGCTAAACATTTCACGTTTACTATTCCAACTTTTTTAAAACATAGGAAGAAATGTGGCTCCGTGAAAAGAGAGATGGATTTGGGGTCAAATCTCATCTCAGCCATTTACTATTATGTGAACTTGGGCAAGTTGCTTTACCTGAGTCTGTGCCTCAGTTTCCTCATCTGCAAAATGAAGGAGTTGGTTTGAGAAACATCCCAGTGTAGTAATCAGGAACAGTGCTGAACTTGAAATCAAGAAGACCTGTGTTCAAATTTTGCCTCAGACACCCCAAGCAAGTCAATTTACCTCTGTCTGCCTCAGTTTCCTCAACTGTAAAATGTGGACTAGGTTTGTTATGAGGACTAAAATGAGATAATGCTTGTAATAAAGTACTTAACACGTGCCTGGTACATAGTAGGTACTTAATGAATGCTTATTCTTTCTTTTATTCCAAGTGACTCTCTTAATATCAGTTTCTTCATCTAAAAACTATGACCTCTAAGGTCTCTTTCAGCTCTAAATCTCTGATTCTATGACCCGATGAGTCAATGACCTCTAAGGCCTTGTCTGTCTCAAAATCTATAATTCTATGCTCCCTTTGGGGGAAAATCCCTAAAGACTTGTCAATGTCTCTCTCTTTTTTTTTTTTTGGTACTTTCAGTTAGCAGAGGGACAAATAAGGTACTTGACTTGAAAGAAAATGAGAGCAATATTTCCCAAGCTGAGTTCTATAGTCCTTGTGTTCAACTGGGTGTAATATTTTTCACTGTAAAACATTAAATATCATGTTATGCATATACCTATCAAAAATCCATTTGAGGCTAATGTGAAAATATGTTTAAGACGAATATATATATAGAGCCTATATCAGATTGCATGCTGTCTTGGGGAGGGAGGCAGGGAAGGAAGGGAAGAAAATTTAAAACTCAAAAGCTTGTGGAAATAATTATTGAAAACTAAAAATAAATAAATTAATTTTTAAAGATCCATTTGAGCAGTGTTGTCAAATTCCAACAGAAATGGGAACCACTGATTCTTCCGTTAAGGATCCCTACTGGCCACACATTGACTTAGTTTTAAAATGCAATATTCCCTATGTTTAATTGTATCTGTGTTTATTTTGTAAAATGTTTCCCAATTACATTTCAGTTTGGTTCTAGCCATGCTCAGGAGTGCTATGGGTGTGTGTTCATCTCTGATTTTGAGTATCTGCTGAAGGAAGTAGGTGGGTGTGTTTAGCCTGGAGAATACAACCTCAGAGAAGACTGAAGAGAGAGGGACATTCTAGTTTTCTTCAAATACTTAAAAGTCCCTCATGATGAAGAGAGATTAACCTTGCTCTGCACGGTCTTGGAGGACACACAGGAGCAAAGGGTGGAAATGGTGAAGAGACAAATATAGGCCTGGTGTCAACAGGAAAATACATTCTTTGTCTAAGAAACTCTCTATAAAATTTTCCCCCAATTTTCTGACTTTGGCTACATTGCTTGTTTTGTTTCTTAAGTTCAGAATAAAATAAATAAATTTAAAAGGGAAAAAGAAAAACCCTATATCAGATTACATGCCATTTTGGGGAGGGGGGAGAAGGTGGGGGAGAAAATTCAAAACTCAAACTCTAATGAAAGTGAATGTTGAAAACTAAAAATAAATTATAAATTATTTAAGAAAAAAAATGAAAAACACTTCATAGCAAACAGAGCCAGATTGGGAGGTCTGAGGAGGCAGTGGTTTCTCCCTCTCAGAGGGTCTGCAAGCAAGAGAAGATGGCTGGCTGTCAGGGTGTTTTAGCTAAGCATCTTTTCCTGGTTAGGGTTGGACTAGGTAACTGTCACAATTCCTTCCAACTCTGAAATTCTGTGATTGTGTAATTTGTTGTGTGGCAATTTTTCAGTATGAAAATAGGCTTGATTTCTGCTATTATGGTCCAAAGTATTCCCAACCCCAAGATGTCTTGGGGCAGGGGGTGATATGAAATACTTCCAGATACCCCAGAATAGCATTTGCAGAGTGAGTTATCAGTATATTTGAGGAAGCAAAATGTAGTGGAAAGAATATGAATTAGAGTGCCAATCATGGGATCATAAATCTAATTCAGTTAAAAAGCATTTATTATATGCCAAGCACTGTGCTAACTCTGGGGATATAAAGAAAGAAAAGTCTTCTCTTCCTTGGTGGCTCCAAGGTCAAAATGAAGTTCAATCCCTTTGTGACCTCTGACCGAAGCAAGAACCACAAGAGGCATTTCAATGCCCCTTCCCACATATAGAGGAAAATTATGTCTTCTCCTCTTTCTAAGGAGTTGAGACAGAAGTACAATGTCCGCTCCATGCCCATTTGAAAAGATGATGAAGTCCAGGTTGTTTGAGGACACTACAAAGGACAGCAAATTGGCAAGGTAGTTCAGGTTTACAGAAAGAAATATGTGATCTACATTAAGCGTGTGCTGCAGGAGAAAGCTAATGGTACAACTGTCCGTGTGGGCGTTCATCCCAGCAAGGTGGTTATCACAAGGCTAAAACTGGACAAAGATCGCAAAAAGATCCTTGAGAGAAAAGCCAAATCTGGCCAAGTAGGAAAGGAAAAGGGCAAATATAAGGAAGAAACTATTGAGAAAATGCAAGAGTAAAAAATTACATGGCTGTAATTAAGTTTTTAGAATGAACAAAAAAAAATAAAGAAAGAAAAAAGACAGCACTTGCCATCAAGAAGTTTATATTCTAATAGGGGAGGCATGTAAATAATTAGGTACATAGAAGATAAATAGAGAGAAAATGGAAAGAAATCTCTGAACTAGCAGCCTAAGAGGGGGGATGGGGACCAGGAAAGGCCTCCTGAAAAAGGTAAGGTTTGAGCTGGATCTTGAAGGAAGCCTGGGAAGCTAAGACACAGAGTTGAGGAGGACGGGGAACATGCCAGGTGAGGAATACAGCTATGGCAAAGGCATGGAGGCCAGAGATGAAGGATCATGTGCAAGAAACAACAAGTAGTCCAGTGCAGCTGGATTATAATTTGTATCAAGGGGAGTTGAGTGTAAAAATCCTGAAAAGGCAGGAATAGGCTGGGTAGTGAAGACGTTTAAATGCCAAAGAGAGGATTTTATATTTGATCCTGAAGGTCACAGAGTACCACTGGAGTTTACTGATTAAGACGTGACATGGTCAAATCTAACCTTTAGAAAAATCACTTTGGCAGCTGATTAGTCAATAGATTGGAGTGGGAAAGGACCTGAGGCTGGGAGATCAATTAGAAAGCTATTCTATACACAGGTAGTAGTCATAACTGTAATGCAAATGGGATGAACTCTCCCATAAAATGGAATCAGACAGCAGAGTGGATCAAAAAACAGAATCCTACAATATGTTATTTACAAGAAACACACTTGAAGCAAAGAGATACACACAGGGTAAAGGTAAGGAGCTGGAGCAGAAGCTATTATGCTTCAGCTGAAGTTAAAAAAAAATCAAGGGGAGCAATGCTGATTTCAAAGTAAAAGGAAAAATAGATCTAGTTAAAAGAGATAAGAAAGGAAACTACACCTTGCTAAAAAGGTACCATAGGCAATGAAGCAATAGCAATACTAAACATATATGTACCAAGCAGTATAGCATCTAAATTCTTTTTTTTAAATTTTATTAATTTATTTTGATTTATTAACAATCACTTCCATATGCTTTTGAGTTTAAAATTTTCCTCCCCCTTCCTCCCCACCTCCCTCCCCAAAACAATGCACAATCTGATATAGGCTATACATTTACGTTCCTATTAAACATATTTTCACATTAGTGAAGTTGTAAGTAAAAATCAAAACCAATAGGAGGAACCATCAGAAAGAGGAAACAAAACACAACAGAAGAGAAAAAAAAAGATAGCGATTCAACTTCCATAGTTCTTTCTTTGGATGTGGATAGCATTTTCTATCACTAGGCCGCTGGAGATGTCTTAGATCCTTATATTGCTGAGAAGGGTTAAGTTTATCAATA